GTTGTTTCGCGCGGTGGGAGGTCACAGACTGTACAAGCCTGCCTTCAGAACTCCTATTTATGGCCATACTTTACTGTTCTACGGCTAACGGAGAATATGAGGATGAGGCGGGGACCTGCTAACCAAGAATATGCTCAGTGGATATTGGACTTGGCTAGGCGCGATGAGAAGTCTGTTGCGCTTCTTCCTGGGATCCAGCAGTTTCAGTCCGTATCCGCATTCTATTCCCACATCTATCCACCTGATCTACTCCGGAAACCTACCGACCTAGAAGTCCATGCTTCTTCGTTAAAGCAAAGGTGTATATTAGCAGTCCGGAACGACGCTGTTAATTCCCTGAATAACCTTCTATTTGAGCGCTTTGAAGGCGTTGCGACAGAATTCCACTCTGCTGATGAGGTCTACCAATCTTCCTCAGACAGAATTAATCGACCACCAGAGGACCTGCTCTAGAGCTTTAATCCGCCTGGCCTCCCTCTGTCTACTCTATGACTGAAGGTTGGTGTTCCTGTCATGCTCTTGCGCAATCTAGATCTAGGGCAAGGATTGTGTAACGGCACGCGTCTTGTGGTCACTGCTGTTGGCCAGACAGCGCCTTTCTTTATTGGTAGGATACTTGGCGGTGAGTTTGATGGTCAGATCCGAATGATTGCGCGCGTGAAGTTAGTGTCTGAGAACAACGATGCCTTACCCTTTCTAATTGTTTGGTATCAGATTCCGGTCTAACTCTGTTTTGCTATGTCCATTAACAAGTCGCAAGGTCAGTCGCTTGAGATTGTTGGTGTTGACCTATGACATCCTGTCTTTACCCATAGCCAGTTATATGTAGCCCTTTTATGTGTTACCACTGTATCTGGCATCTCTATTCTGATTCTGCCTGGTTTGATGGGCAAGGTAGTTAATATTGTGTATCCTGAGGTTATTTTGTAGACTGCTCTGTACAGTGCATGTACATTTCTGCCCTGCTACTATATATTTGCCCTATTAGTAACGTCTGCTTTTATTACAATCGTATCGGTCCTGCGCTATCCTATTTTGGGCGGTGCCCCTGGAAATCCGGTTTTAGCTTCGTGTAATGACAGATCCGGCCTTGGCCCCCTTAAATCAGGTTCAATCCCCTTCGATCTGCTATGATACTTTCTCCTCGCTTCTTACCCACCACATTATACTTCCTGTTATTTTGCCTTCTATCTGCTTGCCATGTCACTCTTCATGTACACATCTGCTAGGGCCATTTCGCCTTCTGACCCTCCTGTACACAAAGAGCCCATTAGGCCTGTAGCTGTTATGCCAAGTATTAAGTGGCAAACGTTTGTTCAAGAGATGCTTGATTGGCATCACGTTGCAACTACCTACCTTGCCTGCATCAATTATGGTCTGACCGGACGAGAGGAGAGGAGTATTAGCTACACCCACCTTAACGTAAGCTGCTTTTGTGCTACTTTGTTATATGGGCTAATTTTCTCATAGGACTGGAACCTTTGTTATTCTTCTGCTATCCTGCCTAAGTACGATATTCCCTCTTTTGACTTCGACTACGACCTGGACTGGCCTTTTGTTGATGATGGGGGTGCAATAAATTGGCGTTGGTGGGGCTGTTACCGCGGCCTCTACCCGCCCTATCTAGGGCGGCTTTGGTCCCAGATGTGGTTCCCCTCTACTGTTGTCCAGGAGTGGCCGCTCCGGGATGGACCAGTTCATGGTCGGGTAGTAGGTGATCTACTAGATGCTACCCGATTCTATCCGCCTTATATGTGGAACCACAACATGAAGCTTCTGAGGCTTATGTTTCATAATACTGAGGTGGTTGAACTAGAAGACCCATATTCTAAGCCTGACTTCTATTTCCGGCATACTCTTCGGCCAAGGCATAGGCGTGCAAGGTCAGAAGAATGGTACACATCGGAGAACTCTCCCTGTTGGGTTCGGCCTAATGCTCATTAGGTATGTTATCTTGACCAGTCTTTAATTTTTTCTGATTATACTCTAGATTTGTCATGATCTTAAATGCTCTACGTGTTATCCATTAGCACAACGTCTTTGGTTATTGCTAGAAGATTATAAGCTGGAGTATAGGGATACCCCTTCACCTTCAACAGAGTCAATATCCAGTCCTGCTCCTCTTTCTCCTACAAGCTACTACAATAGTAGCATGTTACAGGATCTCTAATTAGTGTGGATCCGTCATTAGGCAATTGGGCGCATGGATTGGGCTCATCAGCACTGGTCTAGTCGGAAAAGGAAGGCAGATAATTAATATTGGAAGCGGAAAAGACATTTTACTGATTGGATTAACAAAGATACTACTCGCCCTGAGAAGTTAAGAAAGTTCGTAGGTGTTTGGGGTCTCGAGCTTTGGCATCATTTCTTTGAAGGTCTTGACAATGTATAGCTACTAATTCACTTCATATCTATTGCAGGAATAGTCATGTGCAGCCCATGATCCAATTATATTAGCTACCTATTGTGAGATCGTAAACGCTGTCCTTCATGCAGTGGGTATATTGTTACAAGGTCAATCCGTTAACTCCGGCAGGGAAAGCGTTAGTGGGTGTGGTGCTAGAGCAAACCGCTGCCACACTAACTCACATCTATCCAGAAAATGAACTAACCATCCAAACCCAGCAAACCAAAAGCAACCCCGCTGACTCTGCCTAATGCTTTTAGGGTCCACTCTGATTAGTCTAGAAGAGATACTGATGATTATTAGGCCTGTGCTTGCGCTCTTTGAAGAATTTCCTCTTCTTTGGCGTGCCTTTCGCGGGGACGGTTATATTAGTGCGGCCTAGATTGTTTGCTGCAGTCTTAACCTTTTTTTTCCTGATATTGCCTAACTCTGACTGGATCAAGTGTTTATCGCGGGATCGTTTCGTGGCTGATTGGGTCTTGACTTTTTCAACGAATGGAGGGTCGGAACTTGAAGAAGTGTTAGCAGAAACCTCTGCGTCATCAGCGGCTACGAACTCTCTGTCGTCGGTATCTTCCGGGTCCTCATCTTCTTTAGATTGACCCTCGGCCATGTTGGTGTTGTCCACGGGCCCTTCCGCCTCTTCCTCATCACCATCAGCCAGGCCCTCTTCAGCATTGAAAGCCATGCCAACGTCCACTACCATGTTGAACTGGGATGACAGGGACTGCATCACCTTGCTAAGTTCCATGCACTTATCTGTCGCGAGTTCCATCGTATCTTCAATCTGGTCCTGGACCTGACCAAACCAGGACCGCAGTGATTTATTGTCCATAGAGATTACTTCTTGGAATGACTTAATCACGATTGGTGGGGCTGTGTACATATTTTGCCGTATAGGCTGGGCCCTGGTCCTTGGAACTTGGTGACCGAACGAGTCAATCATGGAGGCCATGACCGGATTGCGAGGAACGGTGGGTTTGTTATGGATCAGAACTGAAGTGGCTTTTTGGGGGCTTGGATCCGCCTTGGTCGAAGCCGATCTAGGCCCTTTTGGTGTTGGGGTGGATGTTGGCACGGCCAGACCCTTCCACGGAGTGGGGATGCTCTTTGGGGAGGTGGTGATATCTTTAGGCATTGCCTTCTCCTTCTTTGGCTGATAGACTTCGTTCCATTTAATGAATTTAGTTTGATCTGCCGATATATGTTAGTATCTGGGTATATCCTATTTAGAAAGAGAATGACTTACTTTGGAGATCGCAACCTTTGCCTTCCGCACCGTAGTGACAATTCGCACAACTATGGCCGAAATGGTCGGGGACATATACACAGTAGACGAACTTGCCGTTTTTCTTCAGGCATTTCTGGCAGGGATCCCGTAAGATCCGACCCACCATGAAGGCCACCAGTGCCTCGGCTGCTTCGGGGCGTGTGACTTTGATTGGAACTGGGTTGAAGCCGTTCTGAAGAGGATCAACCTGTGTACGCACTATGACAATCCGATTCGTTTGCATCTTAACCAACCCTAAATAGGCTGTTGTGACCTTTATGTTTAGATCCTTTATGAACTTGGGGTCCATTAGGCGCCTAGAGAGTCCTATCATCTTCGCAGCAGTCTGGACCCCTTTGTATGGCGGCTTTAGATCAACGATTTCATATGAATCGGTGTCCTCCATAGAAGAGTCGGACTGCTCAGATTCGCTGCTTGAAGGTTCGGGCTGAGGTATGATCTTTCCCTTCTTTTTGCCTTTGGTCGGCTTCGACCCAGCTTCGGCCGGATCCATCTGATAGGGCGAAACGATTGGGGTTGGAGCGGGCAGGGCCTGACCCATGCCATATCCGTAATGTCCATACTGGGAATATGGTGGCATGAACTGCTGCTGGAAAGGGTACGGTCCGCCTGGAGCAAACGGAGGTGCTTCATGTTGAGGCCACTGGGTGTTCTGGTACGGACCCTGAGCCTGCGGATATTGACCCTGGGCCTGCGGATATAGACCTTGCGGTGGCGGATATGGTCCGCGACTTAGCTGACGGGCAAATTGCTGCTGATGTTCTCCATGGCCAGATACGGGTTGGATATGAGCGGGGGCAGGCTGCGAAAAGATATTGTTAGTCTAATTCCTTCCCAAGTTGTATTAATCTAGATTGATCTAGATTTACTTACGCTTCCACTATACTGTCGCCAGCTCTGATCTTGGCCGCCCTGCAAGCTGTCTGGTCTAGTCTGGCCAAAGGCGCGGGCGGGCACTGTCTGGTTTGGTCCTGCCTGCGATGCCATTGGACTCGGGCGAGACTGCGTGTCTTCTGGTCGGGACGTATTGGGCACGGAAGGCGAAGAGGTAGGTCCTGACGACGTGTTGTCTGATGGGGTGGGTTTGTTGTTGTCTAGCGCCTCTATTTTTCCTGATTAGCCCTAGATTATGACACGCGTAAGGTAAAACTTACTATCGCCATTAGCACCAGCCTCTTTGGCCAAGAGGTCCTGGCTTCCGGTCAGGCCTTTACCTTGGGAATTGATAATGACCTTGGTATTGATCTTTGGCGATGGAGGCTTATTATTAGGTTGCGACTGGTTGTTATCTGGCGTTGTCATGGCGTTATTGGACGCGATCCGCCGCGTCAGAAGTGAGCAGAGGGTGTTAGAGGCTGTTCTAATTAGATTTTAACCTGAAACGTGCGGATAGGGTAAGATGTGTACCTGTAGCGTCCTTGGCGGTTTGGGATTGGCTGGTAAGGTCGCACTGCCCTGGTTGGGTGGGTTGGTGGGCGTGGCAGGAGGAGATGTGAAGCTGGGTTGGTTAGATTGGTTATTGTGGCGGCCGTGCGCGTAAGCGAGCTGTTACGTAATCATTCCTAATTAGGACTAGCCCCCTTCTTCCTGGAAAGGAAGGCTAATCTGCTCGTATAGACTATTTAAGTACTTAGTAATGCCCTTTAGCTTAGCTAACACGCCTAGTACTTTTTAACATTTTATAAACAACTTGCTCTAACCCTACCTAGACGTGTTCTATACTGTATATATTAATAATATTTTAATTTATAGTAATAGCCTTTTAAAGCATAAACAGCATGTACGCCTAGTGCTAAAAGCTATAGAAGAAGCAGGTCTATAACTTAATGTAGATAAATGCAAGTTCTACTAATTAAAGGTTACATATTTAGAATATGTAATCTCTATAAATAGCATCTAAATAGACCCTATTAAAGTTTAAACTGTGCTAGATTAGTAATACCTAAAAAATATAAAAGATGTTTAAGCTTTTATAGAATTTGCTAACTTTTACTAATAATTTATTAACAACTTTTTACAGCTAGTAAGCTTTATAATTACACTTACTAAAAAAAAAGTTTAATTTAACTTTAACTTAAATTACTAATAGTTTTTTAACTAGCTAAAGAAAGCCTTTACTAAAGCCTTAATACTCTGCTACTTTAACTTTAAACTACTAATACTTGTAAAAGCTAATGCTTTAGACTACATAGTAGCAAAAGTTCTTTTCTAGACTAAGCTAGACAGAACTATTAGGCCTATTACATACTTCTTAAAAAGAATAAGTCCTGTAGAAGGTAATTATAAAATCTATAATAAAAAATTACTTGCTATAGTACACTACTTTAAACAATAGCAACCTAAACTAGAAGGTGCAGCGCATCTAATATAGGTTCTATCTAACTATAAGAACTTACAGTACTTTGCAACTATAAAATAACTTAGCTACTAATAAGCCTGTTAGTCTAAATACCTATCTTATTTTAATTTTAAAATTACTTATTATCTTAGTTAAGATAAAGGGAAACTAGATGCTTTTATAAGGCAATCTTAAAACATCTTTACTTAGAAAGAAGCATAAAAGGCTTAACACTAAACTCTACTTTAACTTAAGCTATTTTTAGACCTTAACTTAAATAAAATAGATTAAATAATTAATTAAATTATTACTAATAAGTATTTAAATAATAAATTTATTTAAAAAACTTTAGACCTACTTTAAAATAGCGCTAGTTAGTTAAAGAAGGTAACACTAGCTAACTATAAAAACTAAAATAGTAAGCTATATTACTGTAACTAACTTATAATCTTTAATTCTAATAAACTAAGAATTAAACTACTCTAAATTATACATAACTTACTTATTAAAGGACACTTAGGTAGAGGAAAGACTCATAACCTACTGTAGAGAGAGTACTACTAGCCCCGCATGTTCTATACTGTACGCTAATATGTATTATGTTGCTATACTTACTGTAAAGTAAAAGCCTCTTAAAAAAAGTATAATAGCCTACTTAAACTACTTCTAATTCTTAAATAAGCTTAAAAAGACATATTAATTAATTTTATTATAAACCTACTTCTATCTAAAGAGTATATAAATATTATAGTAGTTATTAATTACTTAACTAAGTATTAACACTTAATACTATGTTCCTTTATAACTGCCTCTAATATAGCCTAGTTATTCTACTAATACATATAAGTTTACTATAACCTGCCTAACATAATTATATTAAATAGAGGTACGCAGTTTGTCTTAGCCTTCTAGGACAAACTCTATAAATAGCTCTAAATTATCCTCTATCTATCTACAGCTTTTTACCTAGAAACTAATAGCTAGACTAAAAACATAAACACTGTAATAAAATAAGTCTTATAAGTGTACATAAACTACTAGTAAAATAACTAGGTAAAATAGTTAGCTATAGCATAGTTTAAAGCTAATAATATAATATTTAAATTAACATAAGTATCTTTGTTTTTAGTAAACTATAGATACTACCTCTAAATAAGATTTAAACTACTTATAAATACCCCCTAACTAACTTATTAATCTATATAAGTAATAGATGTAAATAAACTTATTAATAAAATTTAAAACATATCTAAATATGTTTATAAAAAGCTTACATAAGCTTAAGCTTTTTAATAAAAGTATGTAAACTAATTCTAAACCTCTACCTCTATGTATGCAGCTAGCAAGAAGGTCTAGCTAGACACTAGAAATATCTAAATAAACTAATAATTAAAAAAACTTAATTAAAAAAACCTTAGCCCCTTTACAGTAGCCTATATAGTCTTATTACACACTTACTAATTAATCTTACCTAATAGCATAAAGATACACCCTGTGTTCTACGTATTGTTGCTGCGCTAAGCAGCCTTTAAATCTAACTATCTACCTAGACAGCTAAACCTGCTACCTAAACTTATTATTATAAATAATAAACTAAAATATGTTATAAAAGACATTAAATAAATCTAGTTTAATAAAAAAAACATATCTATAAATACCTTATAAAATAGACTAGATACAACAAACTGTTGTAGAAACCTGCAGAAGCTCTGCAAGAAAACTCTGCAGTAACCTAATTCTACGCCTAATACTTATCTAAACTAAACCTGTACCCTAACAAAGACAACCTAATGCTAGAACTACTAATGTAAAGAATTCCCTTTCTAATAAGAGGGGGGGTACTGTCACAGTATCCTCCCTAGATCCTAGACATAACTGTATTAGACGTGTACTAGAGTATTATTAGTGCACGTCTAACATAAATATAACATAACATAGACATAAACTTAAGCAT